TTTAGAAATTAAAACAATCTCCATCCGACCTATTTGTAAGCTAATGAATACATACAAAGCTTATAATGTACAATTCTTAAGTATCTCTTCCACAACTATGATAGCATAAGTACTAACAATTTTTAAAGACAATTCTGTTTTTAATTTCTGCCTCTTAAAACTTGAAATCTCTACTTACAAACAAAACAAAAAAACAGAATCTGATCCTGAAAGTCACATTCAGATCAGAAATTTCTGTCAAAGCATCATCAAAGAGAGAGAATGATTGTCATGGCTGAAAACAACAGGTGCAATTAGAATACTCCATTCTTTTGCTCAAGTGAGGGTAAAATGGTGTAAAGTCAAGACTTAATGTTCATAATTAAAACCCAATTTCCAATGCACATAATACTGACATAATACTACTAATTTACTGATATCATTAACCTTTTTCTCCCTCCAGGTATATGCAAAACCATAAAAGGGTATTCTACCTTTTTCAGATGTACTAGTATTATCTCTTAGTTTTAAAATAAGACATTTTACAAGCATTTTTAGAGACGCAGTTATGAGCCTTGCAAGGGTTTCAAGAAGCCCTGCCACCTTCCTCTCATTTAAATCCTCAGAAACCTATGTACATTCAAAAATCTGTCTCCTAAGACAAACAGCAGCTAATCCTGTCCGCCCCACAAACCAATCTTGCATTTGCTGATTTTTCAAAGTAATTACAACTTATAGTAAAATCTAAATCAGCCCTACACCTAAGCAAAAAAACCCACTGGACACATAACTGTGGAACCCTGTGGTTTCTCCAGAAGCTTTCTACAGCTGCTGTTACACCAACAGAGCGGCCAAGTTCCAGAGCATCCTGTCTTCCTTTCCCTGCCTTCCTTAAGATGCCTGCTCAGTTAGAAAACTCTCAGCCAAATACTACAGAACACCCAAAATGAAACAGTAATTTTGATGCAGAGTCAAAACCTCTCCAGAAAAACAAGTAAAATACAGCACCCAATGCAAGAAGCTTATCAGTTTGCGAAGCCTCCACCGAAAGGCTGGTGCAGAATTAAAACAAAGCAAAGAGTAACACGCTGGAGCTTTGAAAGTAACCTATGAGATGCTTCTCTCTTTTATGAAAAAAAAATCATTTGTGCCCTGAAAACATGAATGTTTTGCCATTTCTCTGGGTGCAGCAAAAATGATTATTTCTTCAGACCCTGAGAGAATTTAAGGGGATCACATTTCCAGAAGAAAAAAATACACAGAGGAGGTAAAGCAGAATACTTTCTTGTTAATATAAGCTTTTGTATTTACTGGGATAATTGAAGTCTTCTTTGATTATAGCCCTCAATTGAAAAAGACCAGTGTCACATTCCTGATGGGGTTAGGTAAGTGCCAGCTGGGTACTACAGTGATGGGCTAATTGTATTGTCAGATTCTCCTTTGGACATGGAACTAGCAGAATCACAACTAATATCAAAAAAAATCTCACAGCTGTTGGAAATACCTGAGCTACTTTTTTAATTACATGCAAAACATAGCAAGAAAAATAACACTTATATTCCTTACATACAATGCAATTTACTATTTATTTATGACAGTCAAGAATTTTGATAAGAGACTGTCTCCTGATTTTTTGGTCTCTTGTCACATTGGTCCAAACTTCAGAAAGTTTTTATCACTGGAAAAAAATTTTTTTGAGGATCTGATATTGAAATTCACAATGATTTGCAAGAACAAGAATACCTGAATATTAATAGACAACTGGAGTTTAAAATTTGCACCTGAAAAAAACAATGCACATATTAACTTTTGTATTTTTAAGAATAAAAATGATACAAGCTGAATAAATACATTTTTCAAGTTTCAAACAACTGAAGAGTGATAGCTGAACAAGATACAAGTTACCCTTCACTTCCATATTGCTTAACAAAAATCCATTTGCTTCCCACTCACCTATCAAAAACATTCGGGTTTGTATTATATTTAATAGCTGCGGAATTTTACAGAATGCTCAGCTCTTCCGTACATGGAAGTGATAATTCAGCGACCAGGCGAGAGTGACAGAATTGGAAAGGTTGTGTTACGGGGCACTTCTGCTTCTCGGCATGAAGGACGTATATTGAACCTAAGGTGCACAGCCTGAGCTCAGCAGCTGTAGATGCCGGATTCAGAAGCACTTTTCTTCAGACCCTTCTCTCCCTACCGGCTTTTCCTCATGGTTAGATATTGATTAAACAGCTTCCTGTCCCTGGGGAAGGTTCCCTGACTCTGCACTCTGGGAAGAACACAGCATACAGAATGATTTCTCAGGAATACCAAACAACATGAGCATTAAAACATCCAGTAAAACAAAATTTTCCCTGCAGTATGATTGAGGAACAGGAACTAGAAGTTTAGGAAGAACTGCCTTACAAGCCGAGACATTTTGTCTGGACTGTTAGCTCTCTCCCTCGGTTGCATGCTAAGCAGACACCACATGCCTTTTCTCCCACACTGTGCCTGAATATTTCCAGTATCAGTCAGCTGATTCCTGGCTGAGATTAATTATGCCATCAGGGATTATGGCTTTTTAAAACTTTGTTCTGAGGCCTCAGGATTTTCTCTTATAAAAACACAGTTTCTTAGCTTCAGCCTATTCATGTGTGCTTTGGCATTAGCTCTTTAAGGTAAAAACTGCCCTTTTGTTATGTGCCCCATGCCTGGCACAATAGGTCATCAGCCAGGAGCACCAGAACAATGACCTCCCTCTTTTTACTATGAAGACAGGCACTGAGCTACTGTAAAAGCAAAGCCTGGAGGCGGTAAAAACCTGTAAGACCATTTAAAAGGGAAAAGTTGTTTTTAGAAAGGAGAAGTTGAGTCTACAGATGTTTTATTTTTATTCCTTTAAGGGAGGCGTTGATATAGGCCTGGAATTTGAAAAGAAAACAAAATTGTGAGTGGGGAATACTGTAAAGTGTGGGAGCCAATTTCTTAGAGGGAGTGATACAGTAAGTTATTTTACT